ATATTTCGGTCCTTTATGGAGACAGTAATGCTGTAGTTTATCCAGCTCCAATTTATTATTGAGATGTTCTGAAAAAACGGCTTCCTCTACAAAGATACAGGGAGGGAGCTGGGTAGCAATTTCCTAATCCAACTAATTTGAATTTAGAATCTCAGAGCCTTACGCACAATCATAACAGTTCCTCTTACACCAGTATTGATTTTTCTCTTGTTGCTCATTTAGCTCCATCCCTAGTTTAAATAATCTGGTCAGGGGGTCTCAACTGTGTACAGAAAGCCACTCCTCCATTCTAACTGTATTTGAAACTTTGCAATGACATTAAGATAGTGAAAGTTGGCAGATGGACCAGTTTCTTTTCTGTCACAAGTCAGCTAACGGCATTAAAGTCAAGAGAGGAACAAATTATATTCAAGAAGGGCTTGAATTAATTTTCTTTCCCCAAAGGGCATCGCATTACTGTTTTCTATCACTCGCAGGACTACCTTTTATCTGATAGAAAGGTATAAAAAAAATGGATGTTGACCATGCAGCTGAATGAAGTTTGCGCTGGGGAACCAAGAATAAATTCTCTTAGCAGAATTGTGTAGGCCTGATAAGATTGCATTATCCCTCCTGGTAATTAGGGATGCTTATTTTCCCTGCCAGCTCCTTGCAATCAATTCTAGAATTATTGCATATATAAATAAAAAGGGGTTTTCAATATTTCCAGTATTAAACTATCAATAACTTTCTTCCGTATTTTAATACTGGGAAAATGCAGATCACTTGGAAAAAAAGAAAAAGGGAATAAGATGACTGTCTTAGGTTAAATCTGTGCTATTTTATAAAACTTCTATTATAGATTAGGCAGATAAATGACATTCAAGATACTAATTCATAAGTAGACCTGGAACATTATTTTTTTTTTTTTTGGCATGCAGCTTGGATACTAACATAAAAAGAATCGTTGAGTGTTTCGACACACCAGAATCAATGTAAAAGGTAAAGGTTCCCCTCGTACATACGTGCTAATCGTTTCCGGCTCTAGGGGACAGTGCTTATCTCTGTTACAAAGCTGAAAAGCCGGCATTGTCCAAAGATGTCTCCGTGGTCATGTGGCTAGCATGACTAAATTCCGAAGGCACACAGAACACTGTTACCTTCCCACCAAAGTGGTCCCTATTTTTCTACTTGCATTTTTACATGCTTTCGAACTGCTAGGTTGGCAGAAGCTGGGACAAGTAACAGGAGCTCACTCAGTTATGTGGCGCTAGGGATTCGAACCGCCAAACTGCCAATCTTTCTGATCGACAAGTTCAGCACCTTAACCACTGAGACACCGCGTCCCTATAGAATCAGTGTAGTAGTCTATATAAAGAATGGTTGCTGGAACTAGGTATTTCTAGTTTGATGAAAAGAAGGACTGGGATGACTTGATAGCAGTATTCCTATACCTCAGGGGCTTCCCCTTAAGAAGAGGGAGTCAAGCTATTATTCAAAGCAACTGAGGGCAGGACAAGAAGCAATAGATGGAAACTAATCAAGGAAAGAAGCAACTTAGAACTAAGGAGAAATTTCCAGACAGTTAGAATAATTAATCAATGGAACAACTTGCCTCCAGAAGTTGTAAATGCCCCAACACTGGGAGTTTTTAAGAAGATGTTGGATAACCATTGTCTGAAGAGATGTAGGGTTTCGTGTCTAAGAAGGGGGTTGAACTAGAAGACCACCAAGGTCCGTTCCCACTCTCTTATTCTATTATTCTAATATATAGAATAGTTTTGAGTATCATGCTTTTGGAAGTCCAAGACAAAAACAGTTTTATCAATTCCTAGCATTCATTAGGTTTCCAAGACCAATTTAATGATTGTCACTTTGTGTTTTGGAAGCCTCATGAAAGATAGTTCTACAGCTGGTAAGGAATGTCAATAATAATAAAAAGAACTGGGCATAAACTAGATGAAGTAATAGGAAATGAAAAAGCTAAGGTACTTTAGAATTCAGACAGAAAAGCACCTGCCATATAACAACCCAGACTTAACAATTGTTGATAAGAAAGACCAAAATAATAATAATAATAATGGTCTGGATAGTATACATGGCAGTATCTGAAGATAGCAGAACAGAAGAGAAAGATCTGGAGAAGATAACAAATGCCAAACCTGTAAATAGAAATAGAACGAGTGTGGCAAAGAAAGCAAAGATTGTACCAATAGGAATAGGTGCCTTGGGTGCGATCCCAAAACTATTGGAACATCATCGGCATTGACAAAATCACCACCAGTCAATTGCATGAAGAGCTTATATTCTGCAATGATATCTGCAACTCCATCCAACATCCACATCTGACAGTCCCAGTGATTATGTTTCCATCAAGTCGTTTTAAAGTCCTAGAGATCATACAGGTAGATTTTTGGAGAATCTGGCCCTCAAGGCAATGAAAAATATATCCATATGTTTACCCTCCCGCCCCCCCAAAATTGTAGTCACCAAACATTGTGTTTGCATGTAGGGTTGAGAGAGAGAGAGAAGGACTAATGAATAAACAATGGAGCAAGAGACTTAAAAGGGCCTATCTTCCAAATTATAGATTGCCTTGTAATAATGTCCCAGAAACCACAATTTCTTTTTTGAATGTATTTCATTTCTATGAGACCACTTTTAAATAGTAAGGCCAGATGATGAAAGCAAAAATCTTTGAGAGGACATCTGTTTCTGTAGGCAGATTTACAAAGAAAGTTGATTCATTCTAACATATTTTATATATATAAAATATATATTTTATATATATATATATACATTTGTTTTCTGAGGTTCTCGCGGGTATTTGTATGTGGATCTTTGGTTGTTCGGGTTTTCTCCCGCGTAAGATTTGAAGTATCTAGGCAACGTTTCGATGAAGTCTCATTCATCATCTTCAGGCTTGTGTCTTCGGCTCTGTGCGTCTCAGAGAGAAATACCATGCAAAATACCACTCATGCATCATTACAAAATCTCCAGAACCGTAAAGCCTACAAACTTGAACTTTGGCACATATGTTCCTCTTGCCTTCTAGGTGCTTACTAAGAAAGGATTTTTCAAAATGACCATCAGAGCATTAGTATTTCATATATTATTATTAACACACTCTGATGCTAAGGAGTTCTACTCCCCCTCCCCACCTGAAAAGAAATCTGTTCCTAATGCAAAACACAAGCAGAGGAGAGGAGTTTCAGTTTTAGTTTCACAGCAGAAACCAGCTTTAGTACAGAACAGTTGAGCTCAGTCATGCCCAAGCTCCTTGCTGTCTCCTTCTTGCTCACACAACAAATACTGTTTCAGTTTCCAAAAAGCCCTCAACTCTCTCACACACTGACAGGATGCTAGCAGATGAATACTGATGGATGCTGGTAGGCAGAGGCGCTATTTTTTCCCCTTATTTTCTTCCCCAAAAACTAAGCCCGATCACATAGTTTCAGAACAAAGCATGGGTATAGAGCTAGTGTGTGTGTGTGTGTGTGTGTGTGTGTGTGTGTCTATTCCTGGAACTGTCATCATTTACCTTGTGGCCTACTGCAATGTCAGAAGATTTTATGACTTGCCAGTGGGGCGATAAAAGCCCAAGCAGCAGACTCCCTTACAAAACAAATTTGACTTTTTAGTATAACAACAACAACAATAATAATAACAAGAACAACAACATTCTTTGCTACAGGCAGGTAGAACTTGTATTACAACTACCATCTGCCTGTAGCAAAGAACTGGTGGGATCATAAGCCTGAAAAAGTGGTCAAAAATCAGCATGCAAAACTACTGTAGGATTTCCGAATACAGACTGACAAAGTTTTGGAACACAATACCCTGGATATCACAATTTTGGAGAAGAAAAAAGTGTGGATCATTGACATTGTCATACCTGCAGGGGTAGGAGTCAAAATTTTTAACAACCGGTTCTGTGTGCATGGCTTAGGTGGTGGGTGTGGCTTGGTGGTCATATGACTGGGTGGACATGGCTTGGTGGTCATGTTATTGGCTGGGTGTGGCCAACTCAATATCTCTCACATCGAGGCAGGCATCTCCTCGCCTGGCCTCTCATGATTGTGGGGATGCTGCAACAGTTGTAAGTGTGAAAAATGGTCATAGGTCACTTTTTCCAGTGCCATTGTAACTTTGAATAGTCACTCCACACAAGCAAAGTACCAGCAAAGGAGAGGAAAAAAACTCCAGAGAAGTTCCTGAGACAGGAAGTTTAGTCCTGCCAAGAACGTAATAAGGGTTAACGGAGAGGCAGTTTCTCTAAGCAACACCAGAATGTTTCCTTCCTGCCTTCCTTACAGGATTAGGCCAGTAATTTCTTCTAACAACTGGTTGTCCGAACTGCTTAGAATGTTAACAACCAGTTCTAGTGAATAGGTGCAAACTGGTAGAATCCCACCCCTGCATACCTGGTGACAGAAGAATCAACAAGAAACAACTCAAAGAAGGTATCAGAAGTTGAGAATCGAAGTGCAGAGACTCTGTCTGGCATAAACCAGTGCAGATGGTTCCAATGGTACTCAGCACACTGGGTGCTGTGCCTAAAGACCTAGGCAAGCACTTAAAAACAATTGGTGCTGACAAGATCACCATTGGTCAACTGCAGAAGGCCACTTTAGTGGGACCTGCTCGCATAATCCACCAATACATTATGCAGTCCTAAACACTTGGGAAGTGTTCGACCAGTGATTTGTGATACGAAACCCAGCATGGTTATCTCATTTGTTGTGTATACTGTCATATAATAAAAACAACAACAACCACAGAGAGAATGACAAATTGCCCTATTTGGCTCTAAATAAAGTGTTTGTCCAAGTCTCTTCCCCCAACCCCCCAAATGTCAGTGGGTCTCAAATAAAAAAAAGAGATGCATTAATAGGTTTTCAACCCTTTACTGAAAATGGAAAATATTGTTTTTTATTGGCAGAAAGCAAGACTGAATTTATACCGGAGCTTTTTCTGCACTAAGCTATGTAATTGAAAGATATAAAAGTGATGGGCTTATAATATATATAATGTGTTTGTGTGTGTGTGTGTGTGTGTGTGTGTGTGTGTGTGTGAGAGAGAGAGAGAGAGAGAGAGAGAGAGAGAGAGAGAGAATCTGTATCTGTATGTATCTGTATGGAGGTATGCATGCATCTATCTATCTATCTATCTATCTATCTATCTATCTATCTATCTATGATAGATATCCCATCAGCTAGTCAAACACAAACACACACACACAATAAAATAAATTTCTGTTACAACTCAAATAAAATGATAGTTTTCTGTGGTACACAGAGTCATCTTTGACAGCATTAGATATGAACAATTTGCCTAATAAAGCCAGCCACTAAAGTTCTTTAATTTTCTTGAGAGCTTATTCCTTTTCATTTGTCACATCTAAGACTAAAACCCTAAAGATCAAGGTTTTGAACATCTGGTAAAAGAGCCTATAAATCCCAAAGTAAGGGTTATTTGATAGAAGTGAGTTATATATATGAAGAGGATTTTTTAAAAACACCATATGCAAAGCAGAAAATGTTTATTATGACACTGAAAGTCTAATGCTTTATGCAGCTTCTTTAAAAAAAATATTCTGAAGGGGTTTTCTCATTATTTAGATTTGAGGGGGGGGGGAAATCATAACTTCTTAGCAACTTGAAAGTGAGTAAGAAACACACCATTTTCTGTGTGCATGTGCAGGAATTTCAAAGAGAAGGTCACAACACTAAAATTATTTTTATGGTTGGATAACAAAGAATACTTAGTATGAATATGAATTGTTTCTAAGCAAAATTCTATAGCTTCCTGAGTACAAGGAGGGCTCAAACACTTCAGACCCCATGCATAAAAAAACCAAGCATATCAGAGTGTGTGTGTAGGGGGAATCAACGGGTCAGAGGTACAAGAAGTTAGTGGGAAGAAATATCCATCTGGTTCAGTTCCAAGCCAGGAGAAAGGCACTGGAGACAAATGGAGGCTGGAGACTGGAGGCTGATCAGAAAGGTGGTCTAATGATGAAGTAGATCTACATAGATAGTTGTGGGCAGCTGACCACTTGGAGTTGAGAGTGATAGGTTTTTGTACCTTCTCTTGGGCTTTGCACTTGAACTTTCTGTTCCTGTGCAAGAACATGCATTCTATTGGCTGTTGTCTGACTCCCATGGGGCCATGTAGGGGTGATGTAAGGGTCATAGCTGGCTCTATAGGCAAAGTACAAATCCTAGGTGTTTGTCTGAGCTAAGTTTGGCTGAGGTTTCTGAAGGTGATGCAATGAATGGGGCATTGGGCAATTCCTTTTGTGGCTGAAGGCTAACCCTACCTTTGTTGGGTCTTGGGTGAGGGTATTTGCTTATGAATATCTATCTCTTTGTCTCTTAAGTGCTGACATCCACTGTGGGCTATTAAGGAAGGTGGAGGATGCTTTCCAAAAGCATGTTTCTTCATTTCTCATCCAGGGAAACATAACATTCTGCCTTTTTAACATTTCTCAAAATACTTCATTCTTCTAGGAGAGGGGTGGGTCTTGGCTTTCTACACTGGGCAGCCTCAAAATGAGATTAATAACTCGGTCTATTAATTCTACATTAATGCAGTGGTGTTGTGGTTTGAAACCTGGAATTGCTTTGAAACCAGGAATTCAAAAATGTGAAAAGTTACTACTCAGCAATGGAGCAATAGATATCTCAAAGGAAAACAAGGTTTAAATCTGTTGGGGTCTCACCCAAATCTTCAGAGTGATCCTGGACTGAAGAAGCAGCCCACTCAGACTTTCAGCCTGTAGAGCCACAGGTAATCTGGCACCTGCAGCAGCTTGCAGAGACAAAGAGTCAGCAGGTAGTTAGCTACCTCTGGCAGCTTCGAGAGATAATAAGCCTGAGTAGGAGAGATATAATTCAGATAATGAAAGACCAGCGTCTATCAGGGGTCCCAGCTCAGGAACACACCAGCAACTACAAAGAGTAAATAGAATCAACAAGCTTCCTTGAAAGATGGAAGCAACTCCCAAATGAAATTACATCAACATCTGAGCTACTTAAAAACAAGTTCTAAGATCTCACTCCTCTCTTGGCAAAAAATAAAACATAAGTCTCCCCACTTTAGACTGGTCATTCTTTCTCCTCCTCTTGCATTCAGAAAGTCCTGATTTATCTGGTGTCTAAATTCTGGACCTTTGCCTTTCTCCTGCTAGTAGATCTCTACCGGCCAAGTTTCAAGTCAAGTTGTAGATTCATTGAAGTTTCTGAATTATCAGCCTAACCTCCATTGGGTTAGGATTCCCCCTTGGCCTAATTTTAGGGTTATAGAGTGAACAGCAGCCTGACTTTAATAGGCTCTTCTTGTCATCTTCAAACATATTCTTGTAGCCAACAGTGGCATCACCACTAAAATGATAGAAGGAAAGAAAGAAGAAATATCATTCTTATTTCAAAGGGATGATGCCACTGTCTAGTAGTGATGCCCCTGTTTAATTGATGCCACTGAAACCGCCTTGTCTCATTTTCAAACATATTCTTGAAGCCAAAAATGGTATCACCATTAAAATGATAGAAGAAAAGAAAGAATAAACATCATTCTTATTCCAAAGGGAGTCTAATTTATGACACTGACACCACCATGCCTCATCTTTAAACATATTCTTGAAACCAACAGTGGTATCACCAGCATATACTATATGACTTTGTTGATGTTTCTTCCCACAGTTTAATTCCAATTTCTACTTTTTAAAATCAAGCACAGCTCGTCCTATATTCTGCATGTAAATGAAGTAAATCAGGTGACATAAAGTCCATTTCCCCCCAGTTTTGAACTTATTTTCTATTCTAACATGCTCTAGCCTTCCCTGACCATAATACAGTATAAATTTTTCAACAAGGTAGATAAGGTATTCCAGTACAGTCTAAAAAATCATTTTTTTACAACCATTCTGGAACTCCCTTGCCTCATTCATTACCCATTAGAAACTTGATTGCATCACATGATGTTTTGTAAAGTATCACAATATTTTTTTTTTCCTTTTCAGAGCCAGGGTGGGTGTCGCCTGTGCATTTGGTTTGATTAAGTTAAGGTGCGATTTTGTAAAAAGGAGAGTTTGTGAACTGAGCTGTAGAAACAAACAAACAAAAAAGCTCTTGTTTTGTGGATTGACTAGAATTTATTTACACGATCTAAAGTAAATTGGATTGCAGTAATATCTATGTATAGCATTGTCTTTAGATTGTAATAAGACTTTATACATTTCTGGTAAAATACTCAACAAAAATATAGATTTAAAACCAGAAATATTTTTGTTGGGTATTTTGCCAGAAAAGTACAATAAAAGGAATACATATTTAATTTTACACGTGTTAACAGCAGTGAGAATTGTTTTTTTCACAACAGTGGAAAAAATGAAAGGATCCCTACAGATGAAAGTGTAACTAAAAAAATTAGAATGTGCGGAGATGAATAGATTAACACTCAAAATAAAGAAGAAGGAAGAAACAGAATATTTTTCAATGTGGGATTTTATCAATGGTTAGTTAATAGAAACAGAAGTTAGAAACTCAAAAGTTTAAGAGAATGATCAATTATACAAGGAAGGTTTATTAGTATGGAAAAGCAAATATTATTATAATGATGTGATTATCATTAATGCTATGAATATTAGTGTTATTATTACTATTATTATCTTTCAAATTTAATTATACCCACACAACATTGTTCATGTAGATATTGAGTTTTTATGTATTTTAAAGAAAAATACATGTGATCCCATGGACAACGTTTCTCCAGGCCTTCCTGTCCTCTACCAACTTCCGGAGTCAGTAACTCCATCTAGCCACCTCATTCTCTGTTGTCCCCTTCCTCTTCTTTTGCCCTCAATTTTTCCCAGCAATAGGCTCTTCTCCAGTGAGTCCTTCCTTCTCACTAGGTGGCCAAAGTATTGGAGTTTCATCTTCAGGATCTGGCCTTCTAAAAAACAATCAGGGTTGATCTCTAGAACTGACTGATTTGATCACCTTGCAGTCTAAGGGACTTGCAGGAATCTTGTCTAGCACCATCATTCAAAGGCCTCAATTCTTTGATGCTCCAACTTTCACAGCCATACATTGCAACTGGGAAAACCATAGCCTTGACTATGTGCACTTTTGTTGGCAGGGTGATGTCTCTGCTTTTTAGTATGCTGTCCAGATTTGCCATAGCTTTCCTCCCAAGAAGCAAATGTCTTATTATAGTTGTGCTTTTAAATGATCCTGCAGAAGGATCATTAGCTACAACTTTGTAATGGAAAAGAGATCAAAACACAAACGACCCAGGAGATTACAATGCAGGTCCCAGGATACCACAACAAAAGAACTTGCAAGGCCATCACACAACCCAGTACCCAAGCCATTAAAACACGGGAGGCTAATGGAAAAAAGATCACTACAAAACAAAAGACCCAGGAGATTGCAGCACAAGGTCCAGGATATCTCCACAACAAAAGTCACAAGGCCATCACACAGCCCATTATACCAACATCAATTCCATCAACCAATCAAGAGGCAACAGTGCAGCCAACCAGCCCAGCACACCAGCCCCCCTCCCCCGTATTTATAGAGAATCTTACACAGGAAAAGACCATTGTCTTACTATAATCTTTATGTTTGGACTATTTGTTAGTGTTGTTCTATTCTTTGCAGTGTTCATCTAAAAGGAATCTTGGACTTAGCTTTCTCCAAACAAAATGTTATAACTATTTTTCCCCACTTTGTAATCTTTGTTGAATGAGTCTTCACCCATGGAAACTGTTTTAGTAACTATCTAGACATAGACATTCTCATAGAAAAATACATTGTGCCAATGTTGTAACTTCAGTATATTTTACATGGATTATTGCTATTATACTTGAGTGACATTGTTGTGATAAAATGCGGCAGAAGACTTTATCTCAAATTGAACCCCTAGTTATGAGGATATCTGCTTCTATGAAATCTATGTTCACCTTGAGGAACAATGGAGCAAGCTTTATGGAATCATATATCCTTTTAAGGGATGCATTGATGTCAACAGCTTTGATTTGGTGTCAGCACTTGGAGATATAATGAAGACTAATGTTAGATAAATGCCAGTGAGAAAACATTTCAGGAAAAAAAAATGAAGGGGATCCAAAGACATATTTGACAGTAACGTGAAGGGCTTAACAGATTTGACAGTTTGTCTTGTGAGCTATTCTTGGACTGACAAATATTTTCTTTAGCTTGCAAAACCCAAGCTCTGTTGCCCCCCCCCCCCCCCAGAGAGAGAGAGAGAGAGAGAGAGAGAGAGAGAGTCAATTAACACATGAGAAAAGATTTCTTCATTCTCATCACTTCTGTTGTTTATTTGACTTAGATGTCTCTCCAAGAGCTGAGACTAGGTCAGGAATCAAGGTCTGAAGGCAGTAGAGAGATGGTCTCTGTTCTGGGGGCCCTAATTCAAGGCTGGGCATCTTGAAAAAGGCTAAAAAAGAGTCTAACCTGAAATGTGCAGAACCTCTACCTGTCAGTGAAGATGTTCCAGGGATTTAATTTGGCAAGGACCAAAAAGAAAACTAAACTAAATTAAAAGCCCACTTTCCCGTGTTTCTGTGGGGCTACTGAATGGGAGGAAACAGCATGCGCTGTTTGTTCACTCAAGAAGTGATAACATGGTCCAATCCAAAGTTTATTAAGAATGTGGAACAATTAGGAGAGGAACAACTTGTGGGATGGATTTTGTATATATGATTCAGGGCTCACTTTCTTTGCTTATTGAAACATCATCATGAATCATTTAGTCATTTCGGACTCTTGCCCATTTCTTGGATCAGCATTCTCCATGCTCTTCTGTCTTACACTGCCTCCTTCAGATCTACCATGGTCATCCCGATGTCAACCTTTGTAGTGCCCACAATAGGAACAAGGGCAGCCCTTTCATCTTTTTCTGCTGACCATTCCCTGCCTGATTGAGTTTTCAAGTGACTCAGTTCACATGACATGGTGAAAGTATAACAATAGCAATAGCACTTAGACTTATATACTGCTTCACGGTGCTCTACAACCCTCTCTAAGTGGTTTACAGAGTCAGCACCTTGCGTCCAACAATCTGGGTCCTCGTTTTACCCAACTCGGAAGGATGGAAGGCTGAATCAACCTTGAGCCTGGTGAGATTCAAACTGCCAAATTGCAGTCAGCCGGCAGTAAGCAGAAGTAGTGTGCAGTATTGCACTCTAACCACTACGCCACCATGGCTCCTTTATTTAAGTATGGTGGTCTTTGTTTGGTAATATTGGCTTCAAGTGATATTTTTAGGTTCTGTCTTGAACTGCCATGCCTCTGTTGGAATCTGATTCAGAGGGGGAGGCCAAGCAGCTGACAGGGAGTGGGAGTGTGGCTCCATTGGCTGTGGAAGAAACTGGGGAAGGGCAAAGGCCGGCTGAGCAGAGCAGAGTAGAGGTAGAGCAAGGCAGAGGGAATTTGGAGGAAGACTCAGGCTCACCCTCTCTTCATCCTAGAGCATGGAGGTAGGAATGGAGAAGGAAGCAATGTGAGTTGCCTGGCTTACGGGGGAGGAAAGGTCCTTGATTCCTTTCATTATCTGCAGTTGGGAACACGGTGTTTAAAAAGGGAGGCTGTGCACAGCAAGGTTGTTGGGAACAAATTGTGAGTTATCTGATATTGTTGATGCTTATCTGTGTTCCTGGCATCTTCCCAACAGTGCGTGTTTTGCTGGCCTTTCAAGTCTTCAATTCCTTCTCCTGCCCTGTCAAGTTAATTACTTTGTGGTTTGTGTGGATTTTTATTTACAGTTTATATGTACTTTGTTTCTGGACTGAATTTCCTCCATTTAAAGATTGTTCTTGGGATTGTTCTTTTTTCTCCAGAAGAAGGTAACCTGGACATTGGGGACAAAGTTGATATTAAAGGGACACTTCTTGCTTATTTGACTGTCATCACCAGAACATCTTTATGCATTCCATGGGATGCATAATAATCATCTTCAGCCCCATGATTCAAAGACTTCCACCCTTCTCCTATCTGCCTCTTTATGATTGAAACATCACATGGCTATTTTTTTTTAAAAAAATAAACTTCATAAAACTCTAAAGAGGAAATAGTCTCTTTAGCTATACCTGGCATCTTGGTAAGAAAAAAAAGAGCTAGTTGGCCAATGTCACCCCTATTATACAGTCATGATTGTTTTTACAGTAGAACAAGAAAGCTGGTGATAGGTTTACTTTCCCTTGGGCCCATTTTTCAAGGAGAAAGTTGACATGGAACTCAGCTACACAGCTCAGAAGTATTTAACTTGACACATCTAAGGTGACTGGGTTGAAATGGCTCTTCCCGGTGGGAAGAGAAATCAGAAAATTGCTTTGAGTGGATGTCACCTCAACAAGCCAATCCCATAAGTAACAAAAGAGGGAGGGAAGAAAAAAAAAAAGGAATCCATTTATGAATCATGCCTCCAGGAACAAGACTTAATAAAAAATAATATTCTTTCCTTGCAAAATTGCCTTCAGTCAGATAATGTATTTCTAGGCTAAGGTTTGTTTTTGCCATGGGACCTAGCAAGTAAAATAATGAATGAAAGAATGCATAGAATGTCTGAGATATGGGGCTTTTCCCCTCAATGTCAACTATTATTCCACATTTAATTCCTTTTCTGCTGGTATTAGGTAGGAATGCAGGCACCTTTAGCAAACCTGTGCAGCATATTGAATTATTATATTTATATAGTAGTGTAGGAGAACAAAAACAGAGGATTTGGTGAGAACATTTCAGGGTTTCCTCCACCCCACACACAAAATCAACCTTTTATATAAGATAAGAGTTTGACTTTATTTATTTTATTTATTTATTTGATTTGTCAATCACTTACAAGATAATAAGTATATTATCTTCTTACTCATGAGTAAGAATACAGGAAACAGGTACAAATAAATGGGGACAAAAGGACAGAGATGGTAGACACAATGGTGCACTTAATGCACGTCCTTTACAGACCTCTTAGGAATAGGGTGAGGTCAATAGTGGATAGTTTGAGGTTAAAGGAGTGAGGGGCTTAGGGGATGTAACAACAGAGTCAGGTAGGCATTCCAGGCACTGACCACTCTCTTGCTGAAGTTGTACGTTCTGCAATCAAGTTTGAAGAAGTTTACATTGAGTTTGTATTTGTTGTGTGCTCTTGTATAGCTGCGGTTGAAGCTGAAGTAGTCATTGACTGGTAGGACATTGTAGCAGATAATTTTGTGTGCTACACTTAAGTCTTGTTTCTGTTTTATATGTGTATTTGTACCCTTTTTTTAAAATAAAAAGAAAACACCCTCAAAAAGAAATATAGATTAGAATGCAGTCATTCTGAAATACCTCTAAATTAATGGGGGTTTTTTGTCTTCAATTAGCAAATAATCTTTCTGGTCTACTCTGACAGGTACATAAGTTAGGTTATATCCATATAAATGTTGTGGGAAGACTGAGAATTTATAGGGTCACATCTTCATATTTTCCTGTTTGATTATAACCCTTCTGTTCCAATTTATTACAAGTACCGCCAGCATTGTAATACAACATTGTGAAAAGAGTGGCTGTTGTTTTTCTGATCTTTGTATGCTATTTTGATAATCTTTCTTAAATGGAAATGTAATTAAAGAAGCTGTTACCTGATATGTAACTCTTTCTTGTCAATACCTGACAACTTCAACCAACTTATGATAGTACTAGAAAGGCATAAAAATAGAAATGTTCAAGTGCTATGGCTACTGGTCACAGTTCTGTATAAATGAAATGTCTTCCACAGTTCTTAACATAGTTGAAGTACATGAAATAGAGAACATTAGATGGAAGCAAAGCATTCTGAAGATCTTTGAGAAGTGCATAGATGCATTATTTCATTTATTTATATTTATTTGTCAAGCATGAATTAGATAACAAATATAATTAAAACATGATTATGATTACATGAAATGGGTACAAATAAAAGAGATACATTAGGATAGGGATGGTAGGCACATTGATGCACTTATGCATGCTCCTTACAGTCTTCTTAGGAATGGGGTGAGGTCAGCAGCAGACAGTCTTTGGGGGTTTGGGGAAGAAATTATATCTGTGTATATAATGCACGACTACAGCATAGGTAGTACCTTGCTCAGTGGTAGTAATTGTGAAAGAGATCTTGGAGTCCTCATGGGCAATCATTTAAATATGAGCCAGCCATGTGCTGCAGCTGCCAAAAAAGCCAACAGAATTGTAGGCTGCATTAACAGAGGGATAGAATCAAGATCACGTAAAGTCTTAATACCATTTTATAAAGTTTTGGTAAGGCCATACTTGGAATACTGCATTCAATTTTGGTTGGCACAATGTAATAAAGATGTTGAGACTCTAAAAAGAATGCTGAGAGGAGCAACAAAGATGATTAGGGGAATAGAGGCTAAAAGAATGGTTGCTGAAACTGGCTACGTCTAGTTTAATGAAAAGAAGGACATGGGGTGACATGATAGTAGTGATCCAATATATCAGGGGTTGCCACAAAGAAGAGTGGATCAAGCCATTCTCCAAAAGCATCTGAGGGCAGGTCATGATGCAAGAGATGGAAACTAATCAAGAAGAGAACCAACCTAAAAATAAGAAGAAATTTCCTGACAGTTAGAAGAATTAACCAGTGGAACAACTTGCCTCCAGAAATTTTTAATGCTCCAACACTGGAAGATTTTAAGGAGAGATTGAATAACCATTTGTCTGAAGTGGTGTAGGGTTTCCTGTCTAGGCAGGGGGTTGGGCTAGAAGACCTCCAAGGTCCCTTCCAACTCTGTTCACCTATTCTATTCTAAGTAGGTGGATCAAGTTATATTGATGGCATCTGACTGAACAAATACAAACCATCTTTCCTCTTAGAACATTGAGATGGGGCTTCTGCCAATTGCCTTTTCTGTCATTAAACTGCCAAGTTACATCATATGTCAGCACCTACCACAAATCTGAAATAGCAGGAAAGTCTTGCTATTAGTTATCCATTAAATCCCTTCTACTTCATTATCAGGCCCATATAAAAACTATGGGAGGGACCTCACATTTGTAGACCTTATAATAACAGGCTTCAAAATTCTTTTGGTATAGCTTGTACCTGGTCTACAAGTTTTAGGTCTCACCATCATTGAAGACATAATTGTAATAGATGCAGATATATGAAAACTGGGAGTAAAACATTTTAAAGGGATTTTTTATGTAGGCTTTTTTTTAATCATAAGCTTAATTTTCTAATATGAGCAAGCTTCCCCAAAGAATGATCAAATCTTATTGACTCAGCAGAATGTAAAGCCTTGTTTGAGATCAAAGGTTAAACATCTGGGCTTACTTAGGATTTCCTATAGAAGATAATTTGTGTAGCTCAGGGTTGAACTGTGGAGACCCTGGTACTTTCTGAGTTTCCCTGCTTATCTGAGTGTTGGCTGCTGGAGAAGTGATGTTCTGGTCTTTTTGTTTCTTTTTGTTTGTATTGACTGCTTTGAATGATGTGTAAGTATAGTTTATCTCTATGTGTCTATTGATGGCTGATTTGTCTGAATGCTAAGGAATTTCCCAATGTTTTTGGATTTAGCTTATTTTAGGATGTTCACAGTTTCCCAGCTGACACTGTGGTTGAGTCTGTCCATGCATTGTGAGTCTTCATTGTGATTTCTGAGGTCTAGTTAGTTGTTCATGGATGTGTTCTGCAAGTCTTTTGCCTGTTTGTCATTCATAGTGACTATTACAGCCCTTGTATTTTATACTGTAGATCACTCCTACTCTCATTTTCTTCTTGGGCTGCTGGGTTTTGGGTTTACTTAAGATGTTGATTGTTTCATTTTTCTTCTTTGTATTATGAGGAATGTGTTGTCTATATACTGGGTCCATATTTTTGGTTGTATGTGTGGGAGTGCTATTGTTTCTGGACACTGCATTAAAGTCCCTGAAATTCTGAAGTCCTGAAATTGTCTTTAACAAATTGCCCAGTTACGGTAATGAGTTGGTGTTAGGTGACATGTAGGTTTCTTCTTCATACAGTAATTATTTGGTTTTTTGGATGCACTGTGTTTGGTCTATAATAACCATGGTTCAGCCTTGTCTTCTGGAAGGATGGTGATGGTTAGGCTTTGTTTAGCTTCCTTCAATGTCACGGCATTCCGTAGGTCCACAGATGTATAGATGTCTGTGAAATCATTGAGTCTTGAACTATACTGAAGCACGTACAGTATTTACTTTTTTTGCTTGAAGGTTGTGCTCATTCAGTTTTTATACTAAATTCGGTTTTACATTTGGGATTTGTTCAAGAAGATGCTTATAGGGGGAAAGTTTTCCTTACTTAAAAAAAAAAAAAAAACAGTAGCATGCCAGCTAACTCAGTGCATTTAATATTCTATTCAGATCTTCACGCTATTTTGCTTCTTTTTCAGCATCATATGAGATTGTGTATTATTAATTTAAAGGCAAATTATAATATTCAGTGTAATAGGTCCTGTTAATAATTAGCATAACTTGGAAGCTGGTTAATGAAAAGTGCCAGATTACTCGAGGAATAACTCAAACAAGCAGAACTCATTACTGTCAGATGGAGGCAATGAGCAAATCAACAGTGAGAAAATGCAATGTAATTAGGATTTTTGTTTTTCATTATCTGCAACTTGAGAAGTATAATATACTGGTAATCTTACTTCTCTTTTGTTTGATTGCATTATTTGCAAATATTCCATAATCCAGCAGACTTTTTCATTAGCCTGAATTTTGTGCTATATTCTAGCTGCTTTCGTTGTAGGCTGCATTCACTGGAGATGCAATTGATCAGGAATGAGGCATTTTAAAGTTTCTATGGTATACTTTCCTGCCTAGGGTTTGAAGGATAAAATATTTCCCTTGTCCAATTTGTATCAAGCTCAAACTGCCCAAGGAGCTGCGGATACAGTTCTACAGAGGAATTATTGAGTCTATCATTTGCACCTCTATAACTATCTGGTTTGGTTCTGCAACCCAACAAGACAGACACAGACTTCAGAGGATAATTAGTACTGCGGAAAAATCAATTGCTACCAACCTGCCTTCAATTGAGGACCTGTGTACTGCACAAGTCAAAAAGAGGGCTGTGAAAATATTTACAAACCCCTCACATCCCGGACATAAACTGTTTCAACTTCTGCCCTCAAAATGATGCTGTAGAGCACTGCACACCAGAACAACTAGACACAAGGACAGTTTATTTCTCGAACACCATCACTCTGCTAAACAAATAATTCACTCAGCACTGTCCAACTATTGACAAAGTCTGCACTACTATTACTATTAATCTTCTCATCACTCCTTATCACCCATCCCCTCCCACTTGTGACTATATGACTGTAACTTTGTCGCTTGTATCCTTATGATTTATATTAACTGTTTCCTGGTATGATTTGATTGCTTATTGTATGTTATGACTATTATTAAGTGTTGTACCTTATGATTCTTGACTCTTGACAAATGTATCTTTTCTTTTATGTGCACTGAGAGCATATGCACTAAAGACAAATTCCTTGTGTGTCCAATCACACTTGGCCATTAAAGAATTCTATGCTGTGCTGTTCTGTTCTGTTCTGTTCTATTCTATTCTATTCTATTCTATTCTATTCTATTCTATTCTATT